ATTTCTTGGATGGGATTTAACAGATAGTGAGCTGACATAGATGTGGGTTTATATCAATTTAAAATAATACACCTGAGTACGGACTGCAATAAGCAAGAGTGAAGGTACAGATTTCCCCCCAAAATGACTGTTGTAAAACATTACCTGTTAACTTTCTTTATTTTTATCTAGTTTTAATATGTAATGAGGCCAAAACCTTGCCAATGAGACTACTTGAAATAGAGAATTTATAGAGATCCCTCGTACAAGAGCCAGGTTAGCAGATGCTCAGTAACTGCCTCCCGAATGAATGGAAGAAGTTACATACTTAATGTTAGTGAATTTAGTTTCTCCACCAACGTGAACTTTCCATAAAGCAGAGCAAACATTCCTGCAGCAGAAAAAGAAGTGTGGCCACAAATTAACATTTCAAAAATCAGGGCCCGGCCAGCGTGGCTCCGTGGTTGAGCGTCGACCCAGGAACCAAGAGGTCGCTGGTTCGGTTCCTGGTCCAGGGCACATGCCCGGGGTTGCAGGCTCTATCCCTGGTGGAATGCCCCCTCCTGATCAATGATGTTTTTCTCTCGCTGCCTCTCTCCCTTCCTCTCTCTCTAAAAAAATCAATAAAAATACATTTTAAATCAATAAAAATCAGGAAAATATCCGTTTTAAACAGACCAGTTATCCTAATAAGCTCCAGATAATCACTGTAAAAAAGTTCTCACACTAGCTACAGCTGTTAAACACGCTACTCCTTTCACATTTATAAAAGTCTGTACCCATCTTTTTTTAAAAAGTGTATATACAGACATATATATATAGACTATATATATTTAAAATACATTTTTATTGATTTCAGAGAGGAAGGGAGAGAGACATACATCAATGATGACAGAAAATCATTGATCGGCTGCCTCTTGCATGCCCCCTACTGGGGATCGAGTCTGCAACCCGGGTACCAGGAATCAAACGGTGACCTCCCCATTTGTAAGTCGATGCTCAACCACTGAGCCACACCAGCCCAGCTGTATCCATCTTTTCATGGGGGGCAGGGGGGAGGGTGTGATCCATCTTTAAGTAGAAATGAGTATCCCTCCTGCCTACTTTCAAATGCAAAATAAAACTGTCACAGGAATAGATGGAAGCTCCTTTCCCTCCCACAGCGCAGCACCTGGACCGGAGTGAGCCCGGCCTCCCAGTGCAACCGGCGCTGGCTCCTCAAGGCGAGGGCAGGAGGGATGCACGCCCCACAGGGGGGCCGCTCCAGTTTCCAGCTCGGAAACGGTGAGGCCAACTCCGGCCCCCACTGCAGACAAGGAAACAGAAGCAGCGGACATGCTCCGCCGACTCCGGAATCTTTCCACTAATAGACTTTCCACTTTCGGAATTCCTTAAAAGTATTTCTGGAAATAATCTGGGTTAGGGTCAAGTGAGTGCAACTGACTTGCAGCTTTGTCACAGGCTGACGGAGGCTCCCCAGTGCATTTCAGGGAGCTCATGTTCACATTTTTGTTTGGTCCTGGAGAGAGGCACCGTCTATATACACGCTTAGGCAACCGCACGATGGTATTTAAAATCTAAGCTCCTATTGGTATTCTACAGTTGTGTAAGTTCAGTTATAAAGACCAACGTTGGAAATCTCTGTCGTCTCTCTAAACCGAAGGACTGTTCTCCGAGGCGGGGAACATGCTGTGGAGATGCGGAGACCAGCCAGGAGGATGCAGAAGAGGCCCGAGAAACCTTGGAAGATGCACCACGTGATCGCCACCTGGGAGCTGGGAAGTTGCACCAATAACTGGACCATCTTAGATGACAACAGCTCGTGGGGGGAAAAGGGAACTAAACCTGCTCTTGACATTGAACACAGCCATTCAAGAGGAAGAGTTAAAGAGCGAATCAGTTAGAGCAACCATCACACCCCCCACCCCCAATGAAAAACAAAACCCAGGCACTTCACAGGAGTAAAAATCACAAACTCCATCTTTGTGAATCCTCAAGGGCATTCATTTTCCAGCCAGTCCCATAACCAACTCGCTTATTAATGTCCTAATAAAAAGAGTCAATGCATTTAAATGCAGCGGTGGGGGACGCCTGGCCTGCGGGCCGCATAAGGCCCATGAAATCCTTTGGGCTGGCCCTGCCGAGACATGAGGGGGGAGTTAATGAAATGTCTGACCAAGTACAGCTGGCTAATTTTAAGTTGATGACTTCGGATGGCCCTCGAATGATCTTTTAACTATCCAAATGGCCCTCGGCTGAAAAAAAGGGTCCCCACCCCTGAAAAGTAACAGGCTCTTCATTTTTTTGAGGAGCTCGCAATGTTAGAAGGGAACTAAAGCATCAGGGTGTGGCGGCATTAGCGAGAGTCCAGAATAGCGTGGGCACCAGTGGACTTCGGGGACACAGCACTCGGGGTCCCGTCAGGAGTGAGGTCAGACAGCCTGTGTTGATAATTAAGTACCGAGGGCCGGACCGGGACGGGCACATGGCACTCCCCGGGGATCCGTGCCGGCTGGAGGAGATGGCCACCTGGAGCTATGCCTTGGGCCAGTCATCAATCCCAGGAAATGCCCTGGACCTCAACTGCTACAGTGGTTTTAATAAACAGACGCAGGAAAAGTTTAAGCTCAGCTTTTTACGGAAACATTGGCTTTAGACTTAGAATACTCGGGCTTCCTACAGCAAGTTCTCTGGTGCTTACTGCAGAGTGCCTGCACATTTCTTATTGCTGATTTCTAAAAGCTGACTCCAACGTCAGTGAGAAGCTGACTGTTAACTATGTGCAGAGAGAACAACTTTTAGTCGCATTTTTAACTACAGGGTAGACTTAGTTCGAGAGCCATGGTAAGGACATAGCCAATATGTGGATACTCACATTCATACTTAACTTGGGAGCTGACAACTCAAGAAAAAGAGAGAAGAATTAGTCTTCAGGTTTAGAGAACGGATGTGTCTCACTCGGTTAAGATAAAAGACTGGGACAGACTGCACTCCTTCAAACAAAAGGCAGCAGCTAAACAAACCCGGCGGATCGTCGGGGTCTTAGGTCATGATTCTGTGATGACACGGGTGCCAGGAAGCCAGCAGACAGACGCCGGGAGACGGACTGTGTCGTTATTATTCCGAGCAGACATGCACTTTACTAAACTCTCGCAGGCTCCTAACTCTTAACCAGATGCTCTTCTGAACCAGGACATTTTAAGGGTTTTCACTTTAGTAGAAGAATATGAACATTCATTTTTGCTTTCAAAGAAAAAGCAAACCCAAATTCTCCAAAGAGAAAAAATCCTCCTCCTTAAAACAGGGGTAGGGAACATGGGCCCGTGGGCCATATAAGGCCTGAGAAATCCTTCGGTCTGGCCCTGCCAAGGCATTAGGGGGGAGTTCATTAAATGTTTGACCAAATATAGCAGGCTCATTTCTAAGCTGATAATTCTGTATGGCCCGAGAATGATGTTATAAATAGCCGAGTGGTCCTTGGCAGGAAGAAAGGTTCCCCACCCCTGCCCTAAGCCAACCTCCGGGCCTGTCAGAAACGCGCTCACACACCAGAAGTACAGAGAGGGAGACCCAGAGCCCACAGGCCTCGCAGAGTTTAGAGAACTTGGGTGTTTATATGATCGCTCACAGCCTCTTTCTCAGTTGGCCTTGAGGCTTGCTGATTAGCTGGTAAATGTTTGAAAGGGTCAGTTTGTCCAGAACTGGAATTTCCACTTCGGAAAAAGCGCAGAGGTACCTGACATCTGTTCCCTGAAGGGCCTGCACGGCACTTGCAGACGTACAGCCCGGATTCCACTCTGCTCCGTGGCAGGGAGGGCACAGCTGTGAAACCTCCGGTGGCTGCTCCCGCCTGCAGAGCTGGGCCCGGCCCCAGGGCCCTCCGGGGTCTGGCTGGGAGAGAGGAGTCTCCAAGATAAAGGCCACTTTAATCATGTGAATAGATTCCTCCAGGGAAAACCCCAAGAACAGAAGCCTCCACCTAAGCCCCCAGTCTCCACCTAGAACGTGGTGCTGCGTAGAATTAAATAACTTCAGTGTTAAAACGCTGCCCTGGGGGACTCCCTCCCCCTCCCCACGTGGGAGTCTGTGCTTGTTCTTCAATCAATCTCCACCTTGGCTATAAAAAAACAAACCAAAACAAACGAACAAAAAACACTGCCCTGGTCTTGGAGGAGGACACTGAAGCCCAGAGAGGTGAGCCGACTTGCCCGAGGGGGCTCAGCTTCTGGGCCACGACCCTTCCTTTGGGGTTCCTGCCACATCCTGTGCTGTGTGTCTTAATTCCCTATATTCACATGTCTTATCTGCCCCCCGCACCCCATCGTGAGCTCCATGGGGCTGGGAAAGACAGCCACGCCTTCGTGCCCCAGTGCCGGGCACCACAGGGCCAATGCTCCGCAGCAGAGCCTGGCCGCTGGGGCAGGTCACCTTTCCATCTAATAGTAACTTTAGCCGTGACTTCAGTTTATGTTAATGACACCCCACACGTCACTTTACATTCAACTACATGCTACTGGCACGGAGCGGCCAGGCCCTCCACTCCCGCCTCCTTACAGGAAGTGGGCTTGGCACGCTTGCTTTCTCATAATTTATAACTGGTGCCCTAACTTCATAAGTTATGGTGAAGATGCAATAGCGTATTTTAATGGTTCCTTTATGCAAATATATTCTAGGTAACTGCTTCCTTTATACGTGCAGTACCCCGCACTCGTGGCCTTATAACCCCTGCTGCCTTCAATGAGAGGCTGTGGGCGCGCTCACCCTTTTGTTCTGCTAACTTTGAAGCGCAGCTGTGATGGTTGGGGGTAATTATTAGGGCGATGGCCCTCTCCCACCTTCCCAGGCCAGGTGCGAACTTCCCTGAAAAGCCGCCCAGAGTTAAGCTCCTCAGGGCGAAACCGAATCGGATCCCGGATATCTGCTACTTTTTCAAACTTGCCCCAACCCTGACCCGCATGAGCACAAGTTAGCCTCCCGGCGACACGGAAGAAACATGCATGCACAGAGTTTAGTTCGGTTACCTGGGCGGGGGAAACAATAGCAGGTGGAACTATGGTGGGAGAACTGGTGCTTCTGTGCCCATTGGCTTCGGGAGGAAGAGGCAGGGGGTCGTGTTTCACGGAAACCACCACCACCGCCGCGTCCACGGGCTCCGAGGGCCGCAGGCAGAGTCTTTTGGGCGAAGAGGGGCCGCAGAGTTCCCCCGACGCGAACACCGACTCGTACAGGGCGCGCTTGGGCGCAGCCTCGGCTTTCACGTCGGGCGCGCCCAGGCTGTCTTTGGGGAGGACGTAGGTGTTCCCCAGCGCGGGCGGCTGGGGGCGGTGGTGGTGGGAGGGAGGCGCCGGGGGGTGGTGGGAGTGGTGGCGGGCCGCCCCGTTCAGAGCCTCGGCGTAGCAGCCCTGCAGGGCGGGCGAGCCCAGTTTGGTGCCGATGCCCGCGATGCTGTTGAGCGTGGCGATGGAGACGGCGCCGATGCAATGGTTGGTGTAGGTCTTGGAGAGCTTGGCCGCCTTGGAGAGCATCTGCATGCGGGTGCCCAGCAAGTTCTTGCCGATGGCTTTGTTCTCGTACCAGGTCACGTCGCCCTCGCTGCAGTGGTCCCGCGGCCGCTGGAAGAACGCCTTGCACAGCGGGTTGCGTTTGGACAGGTACTTGACGAAGCTGGCGTAGGGGCAGAACTCGGTGCCCGTCTCGTACATGCGCGGCAGGTTCTCCTCGTCGCTGCTCTCGGCGCGCTTCTTGCTCCAGGACGACGAGCGCGACTTGTGGTAGGGCCCGAGGGACTTGAAGTAGACGAACTTGCGGCCGTCCTCGTCCATGGCCAGCCCGAAGGAGTCCTCCTCCAGCTCGCGCTGGTTCTCGCGGCCGCGCGTGCAGAAGTACATGCACGTCTCGAACCAGACCTTGTTGAGCAGCCCGAAGGGCGTGCCGGCGCCGAAGACGCTGGACGTGTAGAGCTTGCGCAGGTCGGCGC